CACGACTTTAATTTAACGCTATAACATTTATCTTAGTGGTCATGATTACATATAAACAATCATTTTCTACTATGTTATTCTAATAAATTCGTCGGCTAAAAGTTTTGTGACATTAATGTCAGACTTTAGTGAGGTTTGTTAATAATGGTTTTTTCCGTTGGCAGAGTAGAAAATTTAACAACATGAAGATTTCGAACGGTACAAATTAGACTACAAGGCAATAACATAGATCCAGAGTCCATTCGATGATATATATCGTAACTGATATTATTGTTAAACCAACATTCAAAAATTTAACGTACCTACAGTTTACTCCACAACTAAATGTCACACAAAAACTATGAAAACAAAAGTTCATTGTCAAAGTGTATTTTCTACTTATTAATTAGTTCTTCCTGAAAAATTCATTACTTCCATTATTACACTCTTTTTCAGAAATTGCATAGAAACCTTTATTTTGTTTTCTGGAAAATTCTATATAATTTTCTCTTTACTTATGCTCATATACTTCCGATTGTTATTTTTATCTTCCCATCTATTTCTAGAAAGAAGTATGATGTTTTTTTGAGTTTTAGATGTGAAGATATCCGCAATAACTTTACATATCAACTATTAAGTCAAATAAAACAAAGAAAGAGATGAAAACAGATCTGTAAAACTTTATATTGCACTATAATATAACTTGTTTTGAAGCTTTTAGCGATGTCTCCACTCTCCAGTGAACACTAGGGTTTGAGAAAAAAAAAAGAAAATGAATATAGGTGAAAGGTGTCTCACGGGTTAACATATTTGATTTAATCTCCAAATAAAATTGAGTTAATTATAGAGTTGATAATCAGAATATCATATTAATTAATATTTTTAAGATACTTACAAAATTGATCACCAAAATTGATTTAAGAAGATTGAGTTAAACATAAATGAATGAACATAAACGAACATAACCGAACGAACATAATCAAACGTTCACGAACGTAAATGAACGAACGAGACATATATTCATATTCGTTCATTTAATTCAACGAATAAAAAATTTTAATAATATTCGTTCATTTAATAAATAAACGGCAACAAAGTTCATTTACAAATTTGAAGAACAGAGGAAAGAAATGGCAACAGTCTCCGCATTTTCAACCCCTTTACGTTTAATATCCAAAATCCAATTTAAATCTCCTAAAAATCTCTCCTTTTATCCCAATTCCATTTTTTTTAGATGAAAGTTTGCTCCTTTCCTTCCAACAGCTTATCCTTATCCTCCGGAAAGACCAAAACTCTTTATGGGACATGGAAACTCAAGTCTGCTGAAGAAGGAGAAACAGCTGTTTCAGAACAAGAGAAACCTGCTGTTGCTGAGCGACAAGACTCGGTTTCTGTTCCTGTTTCTCCTTCAGACACTCCCAGAATGCACTTCCAGGTAATGGATTTTCTTTATATATATATATACATATATATACCATTTCTGTATTTTTTTATGCTATTTTGGTCTGCGAAAAGGAAAATTGAACTATGCTGATTCTGAGCTGGCTTCTTTTATATGTGAACTATCGAAGTCCCTCTCTTGATGCAATGGAATTTTGTCGGTTGAGCGAATTAAGTTGAAGTAAGTTTTATTTTGTTAATTATGTAAAAGTTCACTTTGTTTTTAGTTTTTCGTTGAGTAATGGAGAGTTATTATATTTGTCAAAAGGTTGCTTTAGATAATTCTGGATTTTGAACTTCTTTCTAACTTATGCTTAAATGTTTAACTATTTGTTACTGAATTCTGGAAAAATGTATAATGCTTTGTGATATTTTAAAAAAAATCTCTACTAGGGGAGCATCTTTCTATTACTTAATGCATAGAAGTTTGAATTCTTGAAATTAAGCAGAAATTGGTTTATTGATTAGTCTTGCTTGAAATTGTCTATATGGTTATATGTATCTACAAATTTCTTCCCTTGGAACTATCCAGTCATAGGTCGCTATTAATCAGTCTTGATTGTTTGAAGGCAGATGGAATGTGGGAAGACCCAGACGATGGAAGTGGAAGTGAATATGAAGATGACGATGATTATGTAGAACAAGAAAAAGAGAATGATGGGTCTGGTTTTCAACAAGGAAATCCTGTTGGGGTTGTTGATAACTATACAACGAATTAGTACGAGGAAGACCTTGTCAAAGGTGGGGTTTTTTTCTCTATTGGAAATGAACATACTTCTGTAAACAATTGTTTTTGTTATTTGATTGTACATGAGAATTTTGTTTGTTTTTATTATTATTTAATTTGATATTCTGAGTAGTTGTTTAGTAACTAACTGGATTCCATGATGATTTCCTAAGTTATTTGTGCTCTCTAACCAGGCTTGAGGACATATTCAGTGATTCTGCATGTTATATCCGATCCTTGTGTAAAAGATATGTACATACCTTATTATTTCATATGCCTTCAAAATATGAAATTAGAATGTGGTGATTTGAGTGAGACTTGAGTAATTGAAAATGATTCTTGTGGTGATAGTCGTTCAAATTCCAGTTTAAATGAGCGGCAGTGAAGGGGATCCATTGAATTGTAAATCTACATTGTTTATACTCTTTTTTATTGCCCTCGTCCGACATCAGTGTCCAATGCATATCTGGACTTTATATGAGAAATGATCTTCTCCAAATACATGAAAAACTTAGAAAAATAATTTAACTTTCTTGTGTCAGGCACATACACGTATTTGATACTCGTAGTCAAGTCCGAATAACATAGGTAAAGATGTTACTTTTATTGATTCAAAACCTCTTATGATTTAATTCTTGTAGAGTAATTCGTAAGGAAAATTTTTCCCATCCTTTTTGTGTTGGATAGGGAGATGTACAGTTTTTTCATCTTTTATGAATCTGAAAATAACTGGTGCAGAGTTATATTTTTCTTCTGATCTATAATATGATTCCTCTTTTTGTATGAAGATGTAATCTTTGTTTTAATTAATAGTCTCCATTTAGACCCAGTTGGTATCTAGTTGGTTGATGACTTATATTGCAGCTTGATTCTTAAGCCTTCAAACTAATATAATTGACCATAGTCCGATTTCTTTCTTTTCCGGGAAAGCGTGGAGTTATATCTTTAATTCATTTGCACTGGTTGTCTTCTTCAATGTACTTGTCAGATATCCTTGTGATATAACTACTTTTTATGTGTTATCCTACATATTATTTACCAAAGATGAACTGTATGAGGATGTTTGATCATTTGCAGAGGTTGAGCAGCTTTTGGGACCCAAAGAGAAAGCAATTCTGCAGCAGAATGCCTCTCCTAACCTGAGGAAAACATTGACCGTAATTTTGAATACTTTCATGTTTCGTTACATAACAGTTTTATTTTCAAGTATCCCTGACATTTTTATGGACTGATCATTTAATTTCTTGTAAATCGGATTTCCAGGCTAAATGGAAGCCACTTCAAACTCTTGCACTATCATTGCAGATACATTCTATGGATAAGCTACTTGAAAATGGGCTAACATTGATGAAGTGGATAAGGTAAATCTTGTTCATACCAAAATTTAATATCTAAATTCTCCGTTAGCCAGTTTCTAGCATATTGTATCTAATTTCTGTATGATGAGACAGGATGGTCACACTGCTCTTCGTAAGGCAATTATTGGTAAAAAGGAGGCTGTAATCAGTCATCTTTTACGAAAAGGTGCAAATCCGCATGTCAAAGATAAGGTGAGGTATCATTCTGTTCTCTCTTTATCCCAATAACAGGATGGTGCTACCCCGCTTCATTATGCAGTTAATGTTGGTGCTTTGCAAACTGTGAAATTATTGCTGAAATATGATGTTGAAGTCAATGTTGCCGATAGAGTGAGTTGCATGTAAATTTTCTCGACACATTTATTGTATTTTTCTTGTCGCTTTGCTTCTAAGTTCTTTTGCAACCCCTTTGTACAGGATGGATGGACACCGTTGCACATTGCTGTGCAAAGTAGAAATAGAGATATAGCAAAAGTTTTGTTGATCATTGGTGCGGATAAGACCAGAAAAAACAAGGTAACCAATATAGTTAAAGTGACAATCCCATGTCTGCCTGACACATACTTGGTCAAAAGTAAGGGGATATAACCTTCTAAAGAACTCCCAAATACATTGAAAATACCCATGTTGGACACGTTTGCTAGGAGTTAGTGTCGGGTTTATAAAAGCTGAGAACTAACGATACACGAACCAACACTAACTCCTAACAACATGCGCATATCAGACACCCACACCTAAGACCAAATAACATTGGGGAGCCCTATTCAGAAATATAATGCCTAGTTTTCTTTAGAACCAGTAACTATAAACTCCGTACAAGGGGCTGCTTAGCTCTAACCTTTTCCTTACCATTCACGTTTATGTTAATGATTTGTATAATGAATAAAAGTTTTCACTTTGTTTTCTGGTTTTGTGCATATTTCAGCACTATTTTTAGCACTTGCTGATAAATAATGTATCATTTCCCTGCTATATTGCCATCAAATGGTTATGATCATGACAAGGAAACATGAATCATGCAGTTTTCCTTTATACCTTTGTTACTCCGACTCTTCATTTTTCTAGAAGTACTTATGCTTGAAACTCATGTCTAATGCATTCTTTACAATACCAACAAAAAAAATGAAAACATATCCGTCTCGAACGCAGATGTCCTAAATCCGAGAAACATATAGCTTTCTGCTATTGATGGATGTAAATTTGATGCTCTAGAGTTGCTGCATTTCAGGATGGGAAAACTGCCTTGGATATAAGCTTGTGTTTTGGGAAGGATTTCAAGTCTTATGACCTTGGCAAGTTACTGAAGATACTGCCAGCGGAGAGTTATCTATGACGAGCAACAAGCATGCCTGGACTTTGAGACGTAACTTACAGTCGGAAACGATTGGTTTACATGTAGAGGACTTATCGGTGGGCTAATTCATCTTAAAAATTCTATCAAACCGATAATCCTTGAATGTTTTAATTCACGATCTTGTACACAAGTGTATTCAGAAATGGCTGTGATGAGACGCAATAGTTTTACATGGAGATTAGGAGCTGTTGGAGACTTGAAATTCCTCGGCACTGCATTGGAGACTGATACAAACGGATCCATCGCTTATTGGTGCAGGTGGAATGTCAAATTTCCTCATTTTATTTAGCTGGAAGAACTGATGGTAGAATAAGGCATTAACTGATAAACAAGATAATTGCTTAAAAGTTTCCCTTTATATTGTCGTGCTTGTCGATCCAATCCACTGCTCTCTACATTACTGTTACCGGGAGCTCCTTCTTTATGTTTCGTTCGAAATGCACGTATTCGATATGTATGTTCAGACTAAGCATAGAAATACGAGTTTCCGAAAACCTCAATTACATGAAGAAGAAAAAAACTTAACACGTTAATGGCCTATACATATATGAATTTAACAGTCATTGAAGTCGGAATAACTTGGTTGTTTTTCTTATACAATCAGTAATGCTAGTTAAGAAATAAACAAACGAATCTACTATACAAAAATAATAATAATAATAATAAAAAGGAAAAAAAATATCAAAGCCTATATCAAGTTGTATGAATGCATCAAAAACATCCAAGGGCCTATAAAGAAAATGGCCCTTGTCCAATTCTTATTCGAAAGGTTCAAACAACCCTTTTCCACTGGATATGGAAGGACAAGAGAGCCCAACAAGAAAGAAACATAAGCCCCTCGGCTTCGGATGATACAATAAACTCAATCCTTCCTGTTCCACTTCTCATCCAAAAGCAGAAATTTGATGAACAAAAAGGAAAGAAATGGCCTATGTTGCACTGATACGGGTACGGGATGATACGGGGACGGGAAACGGTAATTTTTAAAATTATAGGGTACGGGGACGGCAAGGGTACGACATATAAAATAATTTTAAAATTATAATTATATATAAAAAATCATAAATAAACTCAAATATCAAGACTCAAACAACAATATTAAGTTTAGATATCATGCATCAATTGAATGTAATTGAAAATAAAGCATGCGAATATAAAAGGCGAAAAGAGATGTTCATCATAAAACAACATTCACATGAACCAAATCCTCGGACGAATATAAAACAACTAATAAGAAAATAAAATATCTTAGCATATCTATACAACAGCCCCTTAACTAATGCTCTCCCCTTTAATTCCTGAATTCATGTTAAAAAAGCCAACATCATAAAGAAAAGATCCAAAATTCAATCAGTTTATGTGAAAGTCGCTTAAGATAGGTTTCAGAGAGAGATCTCACTCTTCTGTTTAGCACATAACATTAGTTTAGCACAGATGCAAAATTCCTCTGTGAACAACTATGGGAAATTTAGGTGCAAATATCCGAACTGACCCTCAACTATAGTTGAACTACATCTTGACGAAACATTTTAGCATGACACATGTTAAAAGTTGAACGTAATTGTTCTAAAGCAAACAACAAAAAACCAAAACGTTCAAATATCATTTATTTGCTATCAAATGCAAGGGAACAAACAAAGAGTAATAATCATTTGCTACTTTTGTAACATCCTCCATGTCGGGTTAGTGATTAATTTGCAAAGTTTCAACAATTGGTGATTAAAGTAGAATAATTATATAGTTAAAAAAATAATGGTTAGTAAATATGAAATGTATGTAAGGACAAAAGGGTCATTTGTAAGGAAAAATTATAATTAAAAAAATGTTATGGGGTTATATTAGAACCCACGTGGGGCTTGTGGAGGAAACAAAGGTTTCCAGAATCCTCTCATTTCTTCTTCCTTCTTTCTTATCTTCTTCTCTTCCTTCTCCAAACGTGAAGCTTGCAACTAAAGGTAAGAATCTGAACCTTGGTAGTTTCTTTGATTTTTAAGATTGGAAATGGAAGTTTGGATGTTATATAAGCTAAAGGAAAGCTTATATGGCATTAAGACAATAAGATAAGTGTTTTAGAGATAGATTTGGAAAATGAGTTTTTAGATGAAATTTTGATATGGATGAGTTTTTGATATTTGAATAAGATTTTTGACTTGTCAATAAGTTAATTAAGAAGTATGAAGTAATAGAATTGAAATTAGAACAAGTTAGAATTGGAGTAAGATTCTTCAATTCTATATGGATGAGTAGTTTTCTTAGTTTTAGAGGTATTGAATGGATAATAATAAGTTTAAGTAAGTGTATGAAAGCTAAGAGTATTAAAGGGAGTGAAATATGTATATTTGAGCTGAAAGGAAAGGATTTTCGAGCTCAAAATAGGATTTTCGGGCTAGGGGAATCGGTACCCATTTAAGGGGAACTGATACCCCCTATGAATTTCCAGAATGCTAGAGGGGAATCGATACCCCCAGGGGGGAACCGATTCCCCCATGAGAAAAAAAAAAAGAAGAAAAGAAAGAAAGACTAAGCTATTAATTTCTTAAATTAGTAAGCTATTAAAGCTTAATTTCAAGACATAGACATCTGATGATCCTCTTGAAAATTATGTTTATGTAGATACCGAGCCTACACGAGTTCGGGAACAATCTACAAGTAGGATCGATCGAGGAAAAGGCAAAGAAGTATAGGTGAGTGCATATGCATAGCATGATTATAGAAATATACTTCATTCTAGACTTGTGATAAGTCTAGATTTTATATCTTGGTACATGAGCATATTCTATATTATGAGACATGACATGAGTTCATATGAAATGCATTATATGACATGAATATGTGGGAAAAGTTATGAGCTATGTGAAAAGGTAAGAAATTACATGTCTACGCGATATAGACTACGTGAAATGTAAAAGCCCATGTTATGTAGATGAGAACTATAGGTATAGTTGGCATGCCAAGGGTAGAGGGTCTACGCGGTCCTTCGGGACATATGTATATTCTTTGGAACATGTGTGAAGTCTTGAAAGACACATGCTTGATCCTTAGTATATGTATATGATTCTTAAGGAATTCTATGTGGTCCTTATGGACATCATTATATGGCACTACGGTGCAATTCTACGCGGTCCTTCGGGATATATATATATTCTGTGGAACATGTGTGAAGTCTTGGAAAGACAAATACTTGATCCCTAGTATATGTATATGATTCTTAAGGAATTATATGTGGTCCTTATGGACATCATTATATGGCACTACGGTGCAATTCTACGCAGCACTTCGGTGCATTTATACGAGCTGTGGTGACAGCATAGTGCACAACCTCACATTACTCAGATACCTTAGGTTCTCAATATGCTATCATGGGCCAATAAACTTATTAATACAGATTCATGAATGTTACAGTCATACGCTTACAGGTATGGATATTGATGATGTATACTACATTGATTAAGTACATGTTTGCATCTCATCTCATATGATCATGACATTTTCATTACATTGCCTTGTTTTTATTACTGCCTCACTAAGTCGATGACTTAGCGTGTGAGTGTTTCACACGTAGGATCCGAGAAAATAGACGCGACAGGTGAAGCAGCTTGACAGCATTACTCCTGCAACCACCAGATCAGAAGCAACTTAATCAGTAGGTCATTTTGTTATGTAAATGGCAGTTGGCATGTAAATAAAGGGTTAAGTTGTGTATGCTCTGAACATTTTGATAAACTTATATTACAATATGTATATTATTGTATTTTCTTAATATAAGTTCAAATATTTTGCTATTATTGGTTAAGAGTCGTGTTTTAAAAGTTAATGTAATATCTCTGACTCCTATCCGGGTCGGGTACGGGTTGGGGGTGTTACATTTAATGGTATCAGAGCTATGGTTTAGCCGATTCTAGGCATAAACCAGAGTCTATAGAGTCTTTAAATGGAATACATGCCAACAAATAGTGAGAACTTCTGATCTGGTATAGTATGAGTATGTTGTTTTGCTAATAGAACAATGTGTTTATTCTTATTAGATGTCCGGACATAATAGCTCCCGAAGTGAAGCGGGAGAAGATAGGCATGCTGAAAGCAGTAATTCACCTGCCCTGGCCATGCAAGGTGAAGAACAGGCATCTCAAGGAGTGCCTGTGCAAGATCAAGATACGTTCTTCAGAACGTTAGACGCTATTCTGACGCGTCTTCAACCTCCTGCTCCACTAACTCAAAGAATTAATGTAGCAAAAGAGTTGAGAGGTTTAGGAGCTCCCGAATTTAAGGGAGAAGCTGAGGAAGGTCCAGTGTCAGCGGATCTTTGGTTGAATGATTTGAAAATCATGTTAGATGGTCTCCACTGTTCCGAAGTGGAGAAATTAGATGGAGCTGTATCTTTATTGAAGGGTCAGGCGAGGATATGGTGGACGAACGTCACCATGAGGATGTCAACCGATCAGTTGACTTGGTCTTTGTTTTTAGAAGAATTTAAAAACAAGTATATTGGAGATCAATTTATCCGACAAATGAATCAGGAGTTTATGAATTTGAAGCAGATGAGCCGCTCTGTGTATGAGTACGAATGTGAGTTTAATAAGCTGAGCAGGTTTGCAGCTGAGCTTGTGCCTACTGAAAAAGATGCTTGCGAATGGTTCGTGGAGGGCTTGCGCCCTAGACTTAAAGAAATGTTAATAGTATTAAACTTGTCCTCGTTCCAGGAGGTGATCAATCGTGCAAAAGCTCTTGAAAGGGCTTAGAATGAACGATTTGGGGACTCAAGAGTTCAGACATCAAAGAGGACGACTACTTCTTCTAGCTCAGTACCAACAAAAAGGGGAAGAGACTCGGGATTTCGATCGCAAACTAGATCAGAATCAGTTGCATCGTCTGCTAGGGGAGCAAGTCAGGCAAGACCTAGACAGACGCAGTCAGTGGAATCTGGTGCTGGGAGATCTACTCCGAGTCAAGGGAGACAGTGTCAGCACTGTGGGAAAAACCATTATGGGGCTTGTCGTATGGCTGCTGGGACTTGTTTTCGATGCGGAGATGCCGGACATTTTATTCGGGATTACCCTTTGATTGTTAGTGAGCCTGCACCATCTGGAAGAGTTGGTTCTTCCTCACAAAGAGGACGAGGAAGAGGCAGAGGAAGGAACCCGTCTGAATTCTCTGCTCAACCTGAAGTTCGATCCACTGCTCGAGTATACAATCTAAAGACAAGTGAAGACCGTGATGACCCTGATGTTATAGCGGGTACTTTTCAGTTGTATGATAAA